CTGTCCCACCCTGTCCCTGTCCCAATGTCCCGGGTGTCCCCAGCTGTCCCACCCTGTCCCTGTCCCACCCTGTCCCTGTCCCAATGTCCCGGGTGTCCCCAGCTGTCCCACCCTGTCCCTGTCCCACCCTGTCCCTGTCCCAATGTCCCGGGTGTCCCCAGCTGTCCCACCCTGTCCCTGCCGCAGATCTCTCAGGTGTGGAACGCGACGCTGGTGCAGGTGCTGCGGGCACTGCCCGCGCTGGGGCTGCCCCGTGCCGGGCGCCAGGTCCGCTCGGTGGAGCAGGAGGTGCTGTGGCGGCTGCGGCGGCTCCCCCTGCGCCAGCTGGTGCAGCTGGCAGAGCACCTGGCGGGGCACAGGGACAGCCCCCTCCTGCCCGAGGTGCTGCGCAAGCTGGAGCTGCGCTGGACGGAGCTGGAGGGCACGCGGACCGTGGTGACGCTCATGGCCAAGGTGGGACACCTGGCACCCGCCCTCATGGAGCGCCTGGAGGACAAGGTGGGACCTGCGCACACCTGGGCACTGCGGGGGGCTCAGGGGACACCCGGGCACTGACTGGGCACGTGGGACACCTGGGCACTGTTCCCCCCTCTCCTGTCACCCCCGTGCCAGGCTCTGGAGCTGGCAGAGCAGTTGGGTCGCGAGGGGATCCCCCCTCACCTGTCCCCCGTGTCCCCTGTCCTCCTGTCCCAGGCTCTGGAGCCGATGGAGCGCTTTGATCCCGAGGGGATCCCCCCCCTTCTCCTGCTCCCCTCACCTGCCCTGCTTTCCACAGGCTCTGGAGCTGGTGGAGCGGTTCAGCCCTGAGGGGATCCCCTCTCCCTTGTCCCCTGTGCCCTGTCCCCCGTGTCCCCAGGCCCACAAAGCAGCTGGGTGCCGAGGGGATCCCTCTCAGCTGTGCCCTGTCCCCGTCCCCAGGCCCTGGAGCTGGCGGAGCAGCTGGACGTGGACGAGATCCGGCGCATGGCCGTGGCCCTGGCGCTGCAGCAGCGCCGCTGCGTGCCCCTGCTGCGGGCACTGTCCTACCACCTGCTGCAGAAACCCCCCGAGCTGGGGCTGCCCGTGCTCACAGACCTGCTCTTCGCCTACAGTGAGTGCTGGGGGCACCTGGGCACGGGTTTGGGGACAGATCCCATGGGATGGGGCTGGGAACCACCCAGGCCGGTGGCAGGTGGGGGGAGCCGGGTGAGCTTTGAGGTCCCAAACCTTTCTGTGGGCTGTTCTCCAGCCAGGTGGGAGAAGGGAATCCAGGGAGCCTGAGGAGCTCTTCTCCAGTGGGTTATCCCGATCCTGGGGTGGAACAGGGGCGTTGTACGTTACCTGTGTGCTCCAGGCACGAACACCAGCACACCTGGGAGTTCGGTGTGAGCCTGTTCCAGGTGTCCTGTCCCTCCAGGTGTCCTGCCACTCCAGGTGTCCTGCCGTTCCAGGTGTCCCACCTCCATCCCCAGCACACCTGGGAGCTCAATGTGAGCCTGTTCCAGGTGTCCTGCCACTCCAGGTGTCCCACCTCCATCCCCAGCACACTTGGAGGAGCCCCTTTAGACACCAGGGCTACTTGGGGCCATTTGTCCCTCCCAGTGACCCCCAGTTCCTCCCCGAGCTCAGGTGAACGGGGGGGTGTTTCCACCCAAGGCACCAGGTAGCTGGGGGGGGGATTCCCCACCCCTAGGCCTTCCCAGTCTGTCCTGGTCTGAGAGGTGACTCATACTGGTCTGTACTGGTGCCAGGCACGCTCTGAGGTCTCCCTGGAGCCTTCCCTTCTCCAGGGGACCATTCCCAGCTCTCGCCCGGGTGCTGGGGTGCCCGGCTGGGGTGGGGGCACTGGGGGACAGGTGCCCCCAGGCCCTCAGCCGTGCCCATCTGCCCAGGTAAGCTGAACTTCCAGCAGCCCCAGGTGCTGCACAGGCTGTCCCTGGAGCTGCAGCCCCACCTGGGGGCTCTCACACCTGCCCAGGTGTCGCGCTGTGCCCGCTCCTTCGCTGCCCTGCGCTGGCTCAGCCGCCCCCTCGCCGAGGGCATCGCACAGGTGAGGGCTGGGGGATGCTCACCTGGCTGGGGGATGCTCACCTGGCTGGGGGATGCTCACCTGGT